TGAACACTGGCTTACCAATGAAAGCTAAAGCACGTGTAATTAAAAATAACAGAAGTCAAACCTTGATTAATTTTTAGTTTCATGGTAATTGGTCAGTATTAAAACACACTACAGCCTTGGACAGTTTGGCTCAGTGGCTAGAGCGTCGGCCTGTGGACTCAAGGGTCCCGGGTTTGATTCCAGTCAAGAGCATGTACCTTGGTTGTAGGCACATACCCAGTGGGAGGTGTGCAGGAGGCAGCTGATCGATGTTTCTAACTCTCTATCCCTCTCCCTTTCTCTTTGTAAAAAAACAATAAAATATATTAAAAAAAACAAAAACAAAAGCACACACACAATTAAAGGCATGCTATTACACACACACACACACACACACACACACACACACACAAAAGAAAACCAAAAACCTGTCAATTAAAACCAGTACTTCTGCCGAGACCAGTTTGGCTCAGTGGATAGAGCGTCGGCCTGCAGACTCAAAGGTCCCGGGTTCAATTCCGGTCAAGGGCATGTACTTGGTTGCGGGCACATCCCCAGTGGGGGTGTGCAGGAGGCAGCTGATCCATGTCTCTCTCTCATCGATGTTTCTGGCTCTCTATCCCTCTCTCTTCCTCTCTGTAAAAAATCAATATATATTTAAAAAAAATGCTAGCCATCATTAAAACCAGTACTCCTTTGTTTCCCTACTAATTTTGTCTCTAAAACCATGATGGGTTTTGTTTTCTTGACTTGCTTACTGTCCCATGTGTTAAAAATTAATAGCACTCTCTCCATCTTTGATTACTATGCCAAACAAAATATGCTTTGTATTAACGTTGAAATCCACTTACTGGTCTTTTGGGGGAAAGCGGTATTCATCTGTCCACCAGATCCTGATGCCTGACGGCTTGAGCCTCAACTTCTTAGTCCTCAGTTCAAATGTGCACTGGACAAACTTCATTGACAAACTTCATTGACAAACTTGGGAATCCGACCACATTCCAGAAGGTAACAACCCTTATAGAGTAGGCTCCTGCTTTCCATTTCGCCCTTTGGTTCTTAAATTTGCAATGCTTCCCATCCATCTAGAATTACTGATTTTTTTTTTTTTTAATACACATGTATCCACACTGGATGCAGATTCAACTAAAAAATTCTAGCAATATATCTTTTATCCTGCTTTTTCTAATTAGCCAGATTCAGAGGCAGTGGGACGCCAAAGCGAAATGTCCCGATATTTAGAAAATTGAAGACTTGTACTCTACAATGGTGGCTCAAAACTGTTACAGAGTTGGGTTTTTTGTTTGTGCACAATGAACTCTCACCTATTTTCCGTTAGTGTTTACCTGGCTGATCTGAGAAGTCAGAACTTCCCCTCGGGGAGGCCACCACACTGATCCAGCACTTACTCCATCCAGCCTGTCCCAACGCCGGGGAAGGAGGAAGGCAGCTCACACCCTCCAGCCTCCCGAGGATGCGTGTCTTTCTGTAGCACAGTGTTCAGTGACTCAGACCGTTCTCTCCTTTACAGTTTTCTCCTCTGTCCTCCAGTGGGCTTATCTCGCACTGTCCTTGGGGTTTAAAATATCCAGGATTTCAAGGCAACATCTATGTACTACTTTGTGCCATTTCTGTTCCTCCTCCAAAAAGTACACACATATCAACCAATTTTATCAAAAAATAACGTATTGGGTAGAGTTATGTATAAAGATGGTGGTGTAAATTAGTCATGCAAGACCCTAGCTGCAGCCAAAAGCTATGTGACGGCTAAGCAAATTATGGTATGCTCATATAATGGACTATTGAGAAAACAATAAAACCATTAAAAATGATGTTTCAATGCTAAAAAGAGTAATCCAAATATCATTTTAGTACTATCTTTCAGATATGGCACATTTTAAGCTCATATTTTCTTTGAATGATGGGACCATGGGTACTTTTTCCTGCTTTTGGGGTATATTTTTGAATTATCTAATTGAAGCGGGAGGGTAAAATAAGGTAATTATGGACTACAAGTGTTACACCTCATCAAACAACTTTGTGGTCTTTTTTATCCTGGGCCTTTTTTTTTTTTTTTTTTTTTTAATGGAGGCTTATTTTTTTTCATTGATTTTTAGAGAGTGGAAAGGAAGGAGGGAAGAGGAAAAAGAGAAACATTGATTTGAGAAAGACACATCAATTGTTTACCTCCCACATACGCTCCAGAACAGGAGCATGGAGCCTGCAACCCAGGTAGGCTCCTCTGTCCAGGAACCAAACCCAGAGCCCTTTGGTCTGAGGGCCACTGCTCTAACCACTGAGCAAAACCGGCCAGGGCAAGGCCTTTTTTTTTTTTTTTTTTTTTAACTACGAAAGTCAGTCCGTCAGCTCAATTTTCTTGTCCTATGGATTAATGGTGGACAGTGTTCTGTATGGTGGTGAAGACAGTTGGCAAGTTACCGAATGACTGCTATGTATCAAGCAGGAATCTATGTTCTTCATATTCAATCCTCACATCAACCCAATGAAGTAGTGTGATGGTCTCCATCCTACCGATACTAAAACTGAAGCACAGAAGTTAAATTACAGGCTCCCAGTCATCCAGCTGTTTACAATACTGTTTACTCCACCGTTTACAATACGACATTAGGCACTTGTTGCATCCGATTAGGACCATCTATCATTCATTTCAAAATATTCGGGAGGTGAGCTGCCTCCTTAAGGTGCTATTTATATATAATTTTCAAACAATCAGAGCGCCCAGCAGACCGAAGGAATCTCCCTATTGACATCACATCGAAACTCTACCGAAGGACTTTGCCAAAGTCTATCTTTCGCAGAGATGGCAACAGCTACCTCAATGAGGTGGCAATGCCACTTACATCTTTTCCTGTGTGACATCAATCAAACATTCATGTTCAAGGAATAAGACAAAAATATATATTATCTATAATCACTCTTCCATCTTACTTGGGGAGATAAGACAAATAACATAAAACAATTGGCGCAAGGCAAAAAAGGCATAATGAAATACTAAGGCATGGATGTGGCGGATGGCACAGCTAGTGCAGAAGTCAGGTCCAAAGTATCCTAATATTTTTTAAAATATATTTCTATTTATGTCAGAGAGGAAGAGAGAGGGAGAGAGAGAGATAGAAACATCAATGATGAGAGAGAATCATTGATCAGATGCCTCCTGCAACACCCCTATTGGGGATCGAGCCCACAACCTGGGACTGTTCAATCTGCAGGCCGAAGATCTATCCACTGAGCCAAACCAGCTGGGGCAAAAAGTATCATAGCATTTTGAAGGTACAAGAAACAACGCTTGGAGATTACCTTAGCCAAGCCCAGCATGTCAGGATGAGAGCGGGTAACTTGAGGTCACACAGCTGCTAAGCAGCAGAGGCAGGTAAAACAGCCAAGGAAGTTGGAAGAAGCAGTTTTGGAAAAGCTTTGCAAGAATAATGTAGGGTGAGGTGATAGTCTTTAGATGAAGACAGTGAATAATAGATATTCCCCTTCCCTCGTTGAGTGAAATCAACCTGCTACTGGTCTGATTTTTTAGATTACAAGATTGTGAATAGTCCCTGCACTGGGGGCTCAGATTTAAATTTTGTAAATAAATGTAAAACTACTGGCCTGTTTATTTTATCCCATTTGTTACTGTTAAACATTAGGCATTTGAATGTGTTATCATATTCAACCCAAACAGAAACACAGCTTCCCACACCCGAATTCCAGGTGGCTGCCCGAGAAGTGATCATCTGACTGTCCTAACGTAGAGTTGAGGGCAGCAGGAGGTGTCTGATGTTGTAAACTGTTAAGTAGAAATTACTTGTCCAGCTTTGGTGCTTCCACCACTAACATACTCTTAAATACTCCTTGTAATCATTGCTCACAAAAAATCTATCAGACACAAGAAAACAGAGATATGCTTAAACTCTCAGTAGATTCATCATGGAGTATCGAAATATCAACTGATTGAGCAGTATTTTTACAAGAAGATCCCTGAATGTTGACAGGCAATGTAGAAAGATATTAAATTAAGCCTAGTTTTAACTAAGAAATGTTGGTGGTGAACACAGCATAGGTGACTCAGAACATGTAAAATGTATCTCAAAAAGGCTTGTTCAAATCTGAGAAAAGAAAACATGGTAGGAGGATACAAAGTTAATTTTGACGAGTCCTTTTTTTAACAGTTTAAGTAAATATGGTTGCTAAGCTTAAAATAAGCTAAATTGTTTATTTTTGTAAAAAATACAAACCACTTTACTTTTGGACACAAAGCAAAGAGACATAAAGTTGTCTTGTATTCTAAAATAATAATTCCTGTGGATTTGCAAGTACAAGTTGAGGCAAGGTTATTTTTACTTTGTCTCTAAGCCATTATTAAAAGTGTATTTTCAATTCCTAAAAATTATTTTAAGAAGTGTTATATCCTCAAACATATCCTCATTCAAGCTAGCAATACGAAACAAAAACTCAGAATAGTTCTTCATTATATTTTAGCTATTTACATTGCAAACTCTCATACAATTTACTAATGTGGTTCAGAGAAATAACTAAAATGTGGTTTCCAAAGAAATAAAACAGATTAATATAACAAAGGCAACAAATACTTAATCCTAATCATTTTCTAAAAAGCCCCCCTCCCCCCCCAAAAAAAGAAAGAAAGAGAGGAAGAAAGAGAAAGAAAGGAAATATAAATTCAGGTAATAAATGTCTTCCTTACAACCACAGCCAAATCTGCTGTGTGGCTTCCAAGTTCCAGTCAAAATCTAATTTTCAACCTAAATATTTCAGACCTACAAAACTCAGTGTCAGAGTCACCACGTCCCCCAGTCAGGTTAAAATACTTTGCAAAGTTGAATGCAAGAAAAATGGATCCACAGAGAGAAACAAACTGAAGCTGTTTGCCAAATACTAAGCTTTTACCGACAAATCCAACACTTCTCTTGGAATGTCCCTACAACAGAATAACCCATATGCCAAAGGTGCATGTTTTAATGCAATAGCTTTTTAGCATGCATCTTACTTACTTTGCTTTTTGCCATTTTTAAGCTTCATGAAAGACACCCAGAAAGATGTAACTAGTTGAGTGAGGTTCGGCTCAGATAGGAAAAACCAGTTCTAAACTCGACCCACAAATTTACATGCCAGAACGCCCAGCTGGGAAGGTACTCGGCAAGCTAACATGACATCTACAAGCTTTTAGATTGTGAAATAGTGCGTTCCAGCTTTCTGCGCTGTACATTAGCATTAGAAACCCTCAACTCTAGTTCCCACTAAGGAGAAGAAAAAAAGAAAAAAAAAGAAAAAAAAATCCACCTCCAATCCTCATTGGCCCACCTAGTTCCGGCCCACATGGTATCAGTGGGTGTGTCTGGCCCAACAGGTCCTTTCATTGGCTGCGAAAAAAAACAGCGTTTCATAGGCTGTGATTTGGAGGGTTGTCAAACTCCACGCCTCCAGCTCAGGAGCTCACCAATAGACCCGAGGTGCTGGCTTGCTACTTGGCGATTCAAAGGGCAAGCTGGCTGCTGGAGCGCCAAACCCGGCCAGATGAGCTCCGATAAGGGAAAGGGGAGCTCCGACAGTCCTTCTGAGAAGGTCCAAACTCTTGCTCCCAGACCCCATGCAAGGTTCACACGCATGCAATTTTCCATCGACACATCCGAAAGCCGAGCAGCGCCTTTGCCTTGCCTAGAGCCGCGACCTAGGGAGCGTCTGCAGCTCCGTGTGCAATCGGCCCATTCTACAGGTGGAAGCGGGCAAGGCTCAGGCTCAGATAGCGAGCTCTAGTCCTTAGCGCTCTTTCGGGGGTAAAAATCAGTTCGGGGCGACCCTCCGATCGGTGCCCCTGACCCCCATCCCCGACGGCGGGCGCTGGAGCGCACGGGGCGCGCGCCCTGGCGTCCCCGGTGCCCGGCCCCGCGCGCTGCCCTCTGCCTCCCGCCGGCGCTCCCCGCCGCCCGCCCCGCGGACTTACGCGGCCGGTTCTTCTTCCCGGAGTCCATCCTCCTCCGCAGGCGGCATTTCTTGGCCGGGGAGTCGTGCTGAGGGGGCGGCGGCTGCGGCTGGAGCTCGGGCTGGAGCGGGAGGCGCGGGGGCGCCGCATCGCCTCCGCCCGCGGGGCCCCGGCTGCAGAGCCGCGGCGGCTGCGCGGGCGGCGGCGGGTGGAAGCCGTTGTGCAGCAGCCCGTTCACCGCGGCGGCGTGGCCGGCGGCGCCCGCGGCGGCCCCCGGGGCGTGCGGGGCCGGGGGCTCCGGCTGCCCGCCGCGATCGTCCATGGCCGAGGCTGGCGGCGCGGCGCGCGGGCCCCGCCTCAGGCGGCCTCGCTGGAGGTCATGCTCGGGCGTCTTGGTTTCCCCGGATCCGCCTCCTCCTTGCGGCTTCCGACTCGGCAGCCGCAGAGCCGGCGGCGCGGGGGGATGGCGAGCCGGGCGCTCCTCCCCTTCTGCCACCCTCTCCCCCAGCGGCTCCGCCGCGCCCCGGCCCCCGCGCGCGGGCTCGGCGGCGCCGGCCTGGAGCATGCTGCCCCCGGGCGCGGGATCGGGGAGCCCGGCGCAGCCCCAGCCGGGGCCCCCGCAGCCCGCCGCCTCCTCCTCGGGCTCCCGGGGCCTGGCGACTTCAAACGCGGCTTCCTCACTCCCCAAACCTGGCCCCGCTACTGAGCATGCCCAGTCCTGCCCGCCGCCGCCGCCACCGACGACTCTCAACATGGGGACTGAAGTTCTCCCGGGTTTTCAAAGAGAGAGAGAGAGGCGGGGTGGGCTTTTGTGTAGCCAAGAGAGAGCCGAGAGGAGACTGAGCGACCAGCTTCCGGAGGAATGCGCGGGGCAAAGACGTGCAACCTTGGTCTTTGCAAAGGTTTCAGGTTTGCAGCTCCTGTCGCCTGCGGGCTAGATACCTTTGCAAGGTCATCCACGCCCTTCCCTCCCTCCTCCTCCCTGAAACCTTTGTGAGTGTGTTTGAGTGATCCAACTGCTCGCAGGCCCGTGGGGAGGGAGGAGAAAGGATTATTTTTAGAAAGGTGGGGCTGGTTTGGAGAGGGAGGGGAGTTGCAGGCGCCAACACGGGCCCCACGTGGTCTCTCGTGGAGTTGTCTTGTGCGGGGAGGAAACCTAGGAATACAGTGTGAGGACAGTGAAGGACACAGCTGGGGGCTGGATTAACCAGCACTGGAAGAGACCGAGTAAACAGAAGCAGTCCCAGCTATAAAAAGCACTTTCCTCACCCAGACAGAACTTTGAAGAGACGATGTCTGATGTGCTATTTGTGGAGCCAAGGAGTTGCCTGTGTTTTAGTGAGGTGGGTGGCAGCATCAGCCATCAAGTGGTGGTTAACACCTTAAACTTGGGAGTCCACGCCGGGCCCACATTTCAACTTAGCTGCTAAGCAAACCCAAGGAAATCATGCCATACGAAACAGGACTGGGCATGCTCAGTAGGCAAGACAAATTGGGATGGTGAGGATCTTCCCAAAGTTGTGTAATCCCTGAGGCCTCATCAGCATTTGAATCTGCCTAAAAGTACCAGGTACTATCGGTCGGTCACACCGGTCGGTCACACCGTAAGTGCTCAAAAGAGATTGTTAGGGGCAGAAATAAAAGAGCAAAGAGGAGCTATCATTGTAAGAAATATTAAACATGCTCTGTTAATCGTGACTGTTTTGTTCTGATTAAAGAAAGCATATTTTGATATGGCTGGGAGTTGTACGCCCTGGGAGCTGGGAGGTAACCTTGGAATGCCTTCCATTCTCATCCAATAAATGCCTATCATTATGGAAAGATTTAACAACTTTGTTACCAAAACAACAGAGTCTTAGAGGCACCCACACTTTGCAACCACCCCCCCCACCACCACCACATTAACTATAACCTGTGACCATTTTACTCGTTTTTATTCCTTTTGCATACCCATCCTTATTCCTTTTTCCTTCTTCCCCATGTAATCCTTGTCTTTCTACCCAATATAAGCAGTTGGTTTATTGGGGGTAGAGGGTACAGAGTAGATTCTTGAGGATGACCTGTTGCTCTCCCAAATTGCTGCCATTATTGTAATAAGTCCTCACATATGGCCCTAGCTCCTTTGGCTCAGTGGATAAGCGTTGGCCTGTGGATTTAAGGGTCCTACCCAGGTTGTGGGCTCAATCCCCAGAAAGGGGTGTGCTGGAAGCAACCAATCAATGATTTTTCTCTCATCATTGATGTTTCTATCTTCCTCTCCCTTCCTCTCTGAAATCAATAAAAATACATATATATATATATTTTTTTAAATATATTTTATTGATTTTTTTTACAGAGAGGAAGAAAGAAGGAGAGGGATAGAGACTTAAAAACATCAATTCAGCTGCCTCCTACACTCCCCCCCTGGGGATGTGCCCGCAACCAACGTGCATGCCCTTGACCGGAATCGAACCCAGGACCCTTCAGTCCGCAGGCCGACACTCTATCCACTAAGCCAAACCGGTTTCGACAATAAAAATATATTTAAAAAAAATATTCCTCACATATGATCCAACCCTGTCTCTGCTTAATTGGCTCAAGTAGTGACAGACAGCCCAGACTCATTAGTTGTCTGGTTTCAAGGTCGTTATTCTAATTTCATTGTTATTATTAGTTCACCCTTCATTTCAAACAACTGGAGCAAACCATGCTCGCAGCCGTATTTATTGTGTGATGTACTGTGTGTGATGGTCTCCATTATTCGTACTTAATCCCTGGAGGAGTCAGATGCTTCCCTGCATTTAGCAGCAGCCAGATTGGCAATGCCTTCAACAGAACCTTGACTAGAAGACCTTTAGAACCCACCTGAGAGCTCTGGCCCTGTAGTAGGCAGTTAGAAGACAGGAGCAGAGCAAGGATGATGGGCCAGGTACAGACGGTCTCCGGAGTGGCAAGCCCTGGGTGCCTAGCAAAGGACAATTGTAAGGTGGGACCTCACCCCCAGGGAGACTTTTCCTCCCTTAGCATATCACTGGTCACTCAGTTTGGATCCCCTGACCTTTCCTCCCTAGAGACAATATCTAGGCCTCAGTTGTATTTCTGCTCCAGGCGCAGAAAAGCAAAACCAGCCATAGCTGACCTCAGGACCAACTTCCTTGGATAATGACCCCATGCCCTGGCGTCAGCCAATCAATCAGTGGAGACCACAACCCTGAAAGGACACACCTGGAAAACGGCTGAACATTCCACTCAGACCTTCCGCTGGGATCTTCCCCAAAATCTCCAGCCCTTAAAACCTGTAGGACATGGACCATGTGCACTCTCACTCCCGAGAGCAACCTCAACCTTTTCTCTCCTTGCCCTCTCCCCAGGCTCCCTATCATTAGCTTCCTCACTCCGTAGCTCCAAGGGCCCTTCCTTTAACTCTATAACTTGTTTCCTAAGCCTATTTATTCTAGGATTTACCTTTCTACTTCTATGATTTACCAAATAAATGTTTTATAGTTTGGGCTCTGAATTCTTTCCTAGCCAGAACTCAAGTACTAAGGTTGGTGAACGCAGGAATGGTCTGATCCCACTGGTCTACATCCAATACTGTTCCCGCCTCCTACAACAGTCCATCCACTCATTTTTTCAGATAAGGAAACTGAGCCACAGAGAGATGGCTGAGGTTATTAAGAGCAAAGCTAGCGCCGGGATCGGTTTGGCTCAATGGATAGAGCGTTGGCTTGGGGACTGAAGGGTCCAGGGTTCGATTCTGGTCAAGGGCATGTACCTTGGTTGCAGGCATATCCCCAGTAGGGGGTGTGCAAGAGGCAGCTTATCGATGACTCTCTCATCGATGTTTCTAACTCTCTATCTCTCTCCCTTCCTCTCTGTATAAAAGTCAATAAAAAATATATTTTTTAAAAAAAGAGCAAAGCTAGGGCTAAATCCTAAATCTTCTCATTATCTCTGCTTCCCTGACCTTATCATATTTGAAAACACAAAAACATCTAAGTTATCCTATCTAATAAAGAGGGAAAATGCTAATTGACCTTCACACCATTCCAAAGATGGCAGCACCCACAGCCAATCAGGAAGGAATATGCTAATTGACTGCCCTGCCCTCAAAGATGAC